ATAAGGAATTACATATGGATGAAATAAGTGACAGCATATATGTAAAATACATACCGTGTAAAAACACCATAACAATGACTTTGCTTTATTGACACAAGTGGAAACGTAGTACATTATCTAGAATAACACCAATACCAACAAAGGGGAGTGTATATTCTCTAGTGTGTACGATCCTATTGAGTAATTAGAGGGCACATGTCGTCTTCTAAAGAAAGATAATTTTTTGTATTTCTTGAGATTTGGAGACATGCAAACTTCAGCACTCGACGTTGTAATAGCTGATGGGAGTTTATTTAAGTCAGAACAAATAATACAAGACCTAAGTGACTGCCTTGTGGAACATTTGAAGCAATAGTTATACTCTTAGGGAAAATTTCATTAAATAATAATTTTTGTGTACGGTGTTGTAGGTAAGAAGATATCCATTTTAAGAATAATGATGGGAAACCCATGATGTCCAATTCATTCAATAATAGTTGATGTGCTAGTGTGTCAAACGATTTACTAAAGTCAGTAAATCACATTTTTAATCATTTATAAAACCATTATGGACATAACATGTTAGGTCTTATATATTAGTTAAGAAACCATGTTGAGATGGAGATACAACAGGGGCAACAATATGGAATAACCTACGCGTTACAAGTAATTCAAATAGCTTGGGAAAAACACTTAATTTTGCAATTCCTCTATAATTTTCAATGTTTCTTCTACTACCAGATTTGTGAAGGGAAATTATAAAACTGGATCTCCAAAAATATGCAGAAGACAGCATTACATATATAAGTATGGGGAATATATAATAATATGGGCACAGGATTTAAAGATATATGGGGAATTTGGAGTTTTTAACGACTTTATATATATAAATTAATAATTTATTATTACTTTGTTAAAATTTAATTCCTTTTTAATAGAAATATACTCTGGCATAATTAGCAAACGATTTGACCCTAATTTTGAATATAGCCATATTTTTTCCAAACTTTTATCAAGTTCAAAGATGGGGAATATCAAATTATAATTATATATATATATATATATATATATATATGTGTATATATATATATAAAAAAAAAACAAATACATATATAATATCTAGCCGACAAGGGTCAACATTTCTAATATTTTCCAACATAAAATAAGGTAATGTCCTTAAACAAATCCAATTTCTTGGGTTCGTTGGGATATGAGATAAAGTAATAACAGTTGTTGCCAGTATCAATGTCATCATACCACATTTTTGATTTAACCGCATTTGTTTTCTGTGTCGACCACTATGCAGGTTTGGCACTAATTTCGTCCAAAATCGGGTTCATATTTGATAGAAATCTATTTTTTTGTATTTTTACAAATAATAAATATCAGAAGTTTTGCCTTCATTTTCTATTTTTTTAGTACATTTTTGCTTTAGGGTTCAGGGTACTATTTTATTTTTATTTGTGTGTCACGTGGACACAAGCACCGTCATTTAGATATTTTGTTGACAACACCTACAAAGGCGGTTCAAGGAGTATAAAAAGGTATAATAACATTAATTAGTTTATGACATTGTAGTTAATGTTAAATTAATAACCGTACATTAGGTCAGCTGCAATTTAGATATGTCGATATTCAAAAAAATGTATACAAATTTGGGTTGGTTTTGTTTTTTTAGTAGTAAAGCCAGACGGTCCAGGCTAATTATTTACTGATGCGAAGCAAAAAAAAAAAAAAAACTTAATCAGAAGTTGATTATATATTTTCTTGTGCCACGCACGAAAATTGTTGGTATTAAAAATTTAAGCAATTACAGCTGTTGATTCGTTGCCGAATCGAAATACAGTTCACAATTTTTTGATCTCTTTAAAAAATTGTATTTATTTCCCTAAAATCTACCGGTTAATATACAAATTTTTAAGAAAGGTATTTTCATTTTTATAACCCAACCTAATGCCATAATAAGAGTTGTTTGTCTTGATGTATTTTAAAAATTGTCTAAGTACATTTGTACTTTTGTTATAACGCGAAGTTTTGTCGTCGTGAGTAATTGCCGCCGTTTATTATTTATCTGTATAATGGAAAGACGAAATAAACAATTTTCAAACCTTTAAATGCTTCCGCTATCATTACAAGTTTACCTACTTTTATAAAATATTTGTACATTAGAGTGGCTAACATATATTTTATAAGTTTCCCATTTACGTTGAACGAAGTGCGACTATTTAATCTTTAATAAATCTACTAAGACAACAAAAATATATTAAACGTATAATAAAGAAAATGTGGATCACCCAACAATGCCAACATTTATAGGAACATTTATTATATAATATTATAATATACTTTAATATAAATTGAAATAAAAGTTTATTTCCATTTTTCTGTTAACCTCTCCAATGTACAATATTGTACCTACCCAGCTTTTCTCCTACTCTCCCATTAACATACACATGCTTAGTAGCCGGTAAACAAAATTATTAACTAGTCGTGAATTTTTGAAGGTTAATTGTGTGTTGAACTTGAACTTGTGTCATTAAAATCTGGTTTTTAACATCTCTCTACATTGTTGTTTGTTTTTAGCAAAACCCAGATAAAATATAAAAATAATTGTGTTTTCTTTGGAAACATTTTTGTTGGGGTTTCCGTGTTGTTATTTACTTATCTTTGTTAGTTCAATTTTTTAAAAAATACGATTTTTCAAAAAAATAATAAAAAAAATCTGTAATAATAGTCAGAAAAGTAATAAAAAAACAATATGTAAAAGTGCTCATAGTATAAGAGGTCGGATCAATATATATTTCGAATTTATTCTTAGAAATAAATTCTTAATACTCCATTTTCAAAAAATCGGATTTTTTGTTTTCGTACTACATCAAAAATTTCTGGCAAACATATAAAGGAAAATGTCCTGACTTCGAATCCGAGCGCGATCAAACTTTTGGTTGATGCGCGCAAAAGTTATCGAGGTTTCAATTTTGGCCATAAGAAAAATCTTAAAATTACGCCGTTTATTATAGCAATTTTTGGCCATTGACATCTTTATTTTAGGTTTGCATTCGTACCATTTTAATAAATTGCAAACCTGCCATTTTAATAAATTTAACTTTTTCTTCTGATAATGATTCATCAGACTTAATTTGTTAACACGAAGTATTTTTTTTTTGTATATATTTTTTAATATCAACGACATTTGATTTAAAAATTCTAAGATGTGCTAATTACGTGTCCCTCTCAAATTTGACTTTTTTCATAAATACCGTTAAATACAGGGTGCGAATACTCACGGCGGGAGTATTCGCAAATGATAAAGTTACAATGAATGCACAAGCATTTCCAATCTCCCGCGAATGTTCACATTGTATGAAAAAATTACGAACAATAAAATTTCGCTGCAAGCGTCGTCGATTCGTTCTTTCGCGAGCATTTGTTGCCGAAGAACATTCTTTTGAAAAACTCAAAAAACAAATATTCGCGAATAGCATGGAATAACAAAACACATGTCCAACAACTATTGAGTTCACGAACATTCGTTGTTATTGTTGTTGCTATTTTGAGCATTCGCGAGAATTCGGGAATGTTTTCATTCGTGAGAGAATGTCAGAAAGAATTTCAACCACCAAACGAAACGAACGATCGTTGTTGTGTGCTCTCACTCGTTTGTTATGTGTGTGCGAACATTCTTTGGCGAATGCTCGTTTGGTAAAGAATTTATCGCCATAAATGCATTCGTAAAATGAGCACAAAACGAAAATAATGTATTTTGAATTATTCGCGAGCAAATTTTTGCGCACCCTGGTTATATATCACAAATTTCCAGTGATAATTTTCTGTTCTCACACTCAATTGATCAAGTATAGTACACATAAGCGTTTTCAATAAAAACTATTTAAAAATATTCCAAACGATTCGACGGTTAATCAAAACACTTTTCCCTTTGATGTGTGCTAATTACGTGACCGGCACTGTATATATATATACACCAAATTTCGGAATCCTTCTCCGTGGTATTTAATACCCTTCAGTTATATATTAAAAACGTTTTATATTTAACATCCTATGAAAATTTAATCATTAATCATTTCATCCCATGCTGTTTACCGAGAGTTTTTTTATAATAATTAAGTGCTGTCATACCGGGTCGCGTGATTTTAATCGATATGTAATGGCCAATTTGTAAAAATAATAATTTATTTTAATTGGTTGTTTGTTGAAAATAATAAGCGACAACAAGTAATTGATCAATCTGAAAATGTATGCATTGTTTTTAAATTGCAATGATTTTGAGAGCATTGTTTTTCAAATGCAGAAGAAGATTTTTTGACAGATTAATGTAACAAATGTGCATTATTACTATTGAAGTATGAATTTTTATAGGGAATTTGTTTATATAATTCTCATTATTTATATAATGGGAATGTCACAAGAGTAGTACAACAAATCAAGTCAATGTTTACATAACCACTTAACACAATATTTCCTAAGTCTTGTCTTTACAGAACTACATATATCCATTTATCTCCACACTACAATCTGTAAATAGAAATTTAGTTCAGCGGTCACCCGTCACAATTCATTTATGTTTAATTTAACACAATATTCGTTTCGAGGGCATAATACCAAAATTCATCTGCTCCAAAGTTAACACCATTTTTTTACCTTTTTATGTTTGTTTTAACAATTTCCGGGTTAATTATTATTTAAATGTTTAACTTGTTTTTTTTTTCGCTTAAAAACAACAAAAACAAGCTGGAAAAGTAACACCCATCCTCATTCCATTTTATTTTTGTATTTTTAGCACATCATTCCAACAAAAGTCTCCAACAAACCATCGGTGTGAGCTGAATCTTCCACAGTCATCCAGTTTAAACAATTAAACACTAAAATAACAACCACAACAACAATAAAATCAATTTAGTTATTCAGCATCTCTGGGCAATGACGGTGGATTCACAATAAGAGATTGAAAAAACACAACAACAAAACAACAAAATGGTTTCGGATAACCACAACCAATCCCACGCTGAAAATATGGAAAGTAAAGAATCACAGCAGCAACCACGACTTCGTCATCATCAATCAGTGGACTGTGACATACTTTTAAATACATTTCAAATAAAAAAGAAACGATACAAAGTACTGCTCAACTATGATCACATTGTGTGGGAGCGTTCCGATGCCAAACACTGCCAAACCCTAAAGAGTCCGGGAGGGATCAATGAGAAGAGTTCAACGCCAACAGTAGCATCACCAGACGTCAATGTAGCTGCAGCACAAAAAGGTAAAGTATACCAAAAAAGGCAGTATAATGTAGCGAGACACAGAAGAGGAGAAATAGGAGTGGGACGGGAACAGCAAATACAAAATTGGTTTGGATTTAATAAAACCACAATTGTGTAAACTATATTCACGTCATAGTTTTTATACCGCAGACATTTCTTTTATAAATTACCACAGTAAAAAATAAAATAACATTGTTTGTTTTCCGGTACATATTCAAAATTAATACATAGACCAACCTTGCCTTGACCGAACACCTTTTGTCGGTACATTGTAGATAACAAAATTCTAAAAAATATTCTTTATATTTCCATGATGTTTATAGAATAGAATACCACAACATTTTTGAGAACCGTTTTGTGTTCAATATGTATTTACAACTTCGAACCAAAAAAAGAACAAATTTGATTGATATTATGGGCCTATATTGAACATTAGCTGGGAATAAGTTTTTTATCTGATAGAAGTTTTTAATGCCAATTTCCAGCCATTTCGGTGGAATAATGCGACTAAATCCTTCAAAAATGTCCGATATTGAATAATTTCTGCAAATAATATTATTTTATTTTTGCCAAACTTTGATTTATAATTGACTTCAATCTGAATTTGTTTTTTTTTTTTCAGAAGCTGAATATGAACGAGAACAACTGTCTCAAAAGGCTAGTTATGGCCATTGCAGTAATGTGGTACACTTACACGAAGTGATACGTGTCTCCAAAGGTAACAGCAAATCGGCCACAGTTCGCAATGCTCACAACCCACTTACTGTCAGTGGCGGTGATTCATCACAACCACCACAAATTGTAACCACTCCAACGGATACATTTTTATCGATCTACTATGCCGAACGTATTGTTGCCTCACCAACTGACTGCAATCGTTGGCACATTCGACGTCTGACACTGCACAACAAAGATCCGTATATTGTTGCAAAATGGTATGACAATTTGCAGAATCTATTACAGAATCTGAGGCAAAAGCGTGCGAAGCGTTTGCTGGTATTTATCAATCCATATGGTGGTCGTAAAATGGGACTCCAAATCTACGAACGTTCCTGTAAATCTACATTCCAATTGGCCGGTATCGATGCCTCCTGCATTATAACCCAGAGAGCCAATCAAATACGCGATATTCTTATGTCCCATGATTTGACACCATTTGATGCAGTTTGTTGTGTTGGCGGTGATGGAACGGTGGCTGAAATGATCAATGGTCTCATAATGAGATCGATGCAAGATGCCGGGGTATGCTTACGGCGACCAGAAAACATTCCTAAACCCAGTTTGCCGGTGGGTATTATTCCGGCTGGCAGCACAGATACTGTAGCGTATAGTTTACATGGCACTTCTGACCCCCAGACAGCAGCTATTCATTTAGTTTTGGGTCGCAAGCGTGGTCTAGACGTGTGCAGTATCCGAAATACCGATGGCATCATTCGCTTTTTCGCCAGTACCATGGGCTATGGTTATTTGGGTGATGTTGCCGCCAAAAGTGAAAAGTACCGTTGGATGGGCACCAAACGTTACGAATACACTGGAGTTAAATCCTTCCTACTGAATCGAGGCTATGAAGCAGAAGTGAAAATTCTGCTCAGTGAAGATGATGTAGATAGTGGTGAAGGCGAAGGTGTCACACCACAGATTATTTGCAATGTGAATTGTGAAACATGCAAATTGGATACATCCGATGACTTAGATATGGATCGGCCATCATCCTCCAAGACATCATTACATTCGGACCTTAAGAAACATTCCCAACATTTCGATGGTAATAACTACTGTGATACCCAGGATTCCAACAACACCAATCAAAAGAACACCATTGTCAATAGTAGCGATGTCACTCTTGCCTTAGAGGAAAGAGCAAATTCACCCAGCAGCTCATCACTGTCGAATAGCGACAACATGCAACAATATGAATTCCCATCAAACGAAGCGCAAACTCGTGTTAGAGCGCCAAAATGGCGTATTATACGTGGGGAATTTTTTATGGTCACTACAACGAATATTACATGTGCCTGTAGTCGTAGTCCCAATGGCATGTCAAAATACTGTCACTTGGGCGATGGACATCTGGATGTTATTCTGGTGCGCAAATCAAATATGTTTAATAATTTACGATTTGCCATCAATACAATGGCTCGAAATGGTGATATTGTAAGTAGTGTGAAGATATGCAATTATATGTTTCGATTTAATGTGTGTGTGTATTTTTTATTTTTTATGTGTAGCGCAATTTGCCCTTCGTTGAGATCTATCGCACAAAACAATTCATCTTTAATGCCAAACCAAATATGTCGCCTCAGGACTATAATAGTATTCGAGGTTCTTGCCAACCTATTGCCGATTCGTATGCCGAAGCTGAAACAAATTTTCCAAATAAAATTTTTTCATCGTGGAATTGTGATGGTGAAGTAATTACCGATTTGGAAATAACACTGACGTGAGTATAGTTGAATTAACATTAAAGTATTGATTTGAAAAATTCAGTAGATTTTATTACAAATATGCGGAAAATCGTCGAAATGATGGGATGGCACTAGCAAGTTATTGCAAATTAAAGACTCCAATTCACGAGACATGACAAAATAACAGACTGTATGCAGTATCCCTAGAATTGCAATGTTGACGGATTGACATCGACAACACACGCTGACATCCATAACCTTCTAGGAATGATACAGGTCTGGATGCCTTGGGATCTTCAGTTTTAAAAAAGAACAATATCAATCACAAATGTGACGAACGTTTCAAACACCGACGACACAATGGACAATTGTTTCAAATGGGGACAACTATTTACCGTTTAATGAAATCCATTACATTTTGACACCACGCTTCAATCTTTCTTTGACGCATGAATAAGACGCCATGGATATCACGAGAATCATATTGTCATCCTCTAGTCAGAATAGATTACCACAAATTGAAAAAATCAAATCAAAGTGGACTGACGATTTACTGGAACTTCAGAATTTTTTTTAAAGTACCAAACAATAAGTGCAAGCTATTCTTCGATAAAAAAAAAAAAACAAGCACAATCTCATATTAAAACATGTACGGGTCACACTCAATAAGGCGACGACATCGGAAAATATTCCGAACCTTAGGACACAATCAAACATTTGAAATCTATTTGAATGGACATCAGCCATATTCTGGCTTAACTCATTTAGCGCCACCGTCCTTTTAAAAGAACGTCAAAAATGTCAATACCATTGCTAGAAAACAACCATTATCTCAGTGAATTTCCATACATTAGTTTATATTATTTCCTAACTTCATGCTAAAACAAAATTTTATTATAAAATTGTATTTTATTAATTAAATATTCTTAAAATTAAATTTTTGATTTTGAAGAAAAATTCTCTTGCGTTATCTGGGTTTATTGTATGTGCACTTGTGGCGATATTTTTCCCCAAAATTAAATTTTCCATATGACTCAATAGATCGAATACGCCAACAAGAAAATAATTCATTGAAAGAAAATAAAATTGTAATCATTATATTTTAATCGTTAGTCTGTATTCTTAGAAAATATTATTAATTTGTTTCACAACACATTTTAATTATTGCTAAAACATGTTGTTCTCTTTGCAGTTCACACAGGCAATTGATTGATGTCTTCATGCGGGGACCCTATATTTACACTAAACCATCGAAACATCCGGAAAACAATTCGATTTTCTGTTGCTGTCACTCGGAGTCTTAAAGTGTTAGTTTTAGTCTTTGTGAGAGCAAACGGAAGGAGATGGGGAGCAAACCTAAATCCATGAGCAACTAATAATTTTGTTTATAAATAAGAATATGATTTTTGTGTGATAAATATTAAGGCTGTTTCATTTATGATTAAATCTTAGATTTGATTATTCAGTATATTAGAGATTAGTAATCGAAATATGGTGATTTGGTTTTCCTTTTTTGTTTAATATATAAGTCTGTATGTATGTACGATTATTCACAATGTTATTATTGATTCTCAAAGAAGACGGCACAAAATGTATTATTTGATATTATTGGATTATTGTTATTTGTATATGTTTTATCTTAAAAATTTCAAAATAGCTGAACACTTGTTTATATTTTTGTTGTGAACATTTATGTGGGTTTATGTTTACTGCAATAAGGCATTCCTATATGTTATTTGACTTTATCTTTTATTTATGTATGTCTATGGAACGTAATTAAAGGAAATAAAATTAGTTCATTAAATATCCAAACTTTAACGATTTCTAGATAATCAATAATTGGTGTTTTATTTTATGGCTTATATGGATTATTATTGGTATAATAAAAAGAAATAACATAAAGGTATAGTATGTGAACTTGAATGTGTGATGATGATTTATATCTCTAACACAATATCACTCTTCTATCATGTTCATATTGATAATCAGTCCATATTGACCTAGAAATGCTTCTGTATAAAAGATGATGTTCCCGTACATTTTGTAGATGTATTATGAAATCGATTTAGACAAATCGAGAACAAAGCATTTGTTATGACATTTTCAAAATACTTTAAAAGCCGACTTAATAGGACGGTAAAAAGGATGTAAATCGAACAAATTTTACGTCTGTATGTCTTTGGAAGTAAATGAAAATGTCTGAAATATAGGCAATGAATAATATGATCTTACAAGAAACGACCTTTCAAGATGAGAATAAATTTGGGAATTGATATTTGAGGATTTCTTACCGACCTGGAAAAAATAAATTCAATAACTAAATACCATGGTGCTTGGTATTAAGCAATCGTTTCTCAAAGATATTAAATTAAAAAGGAAGCCAATACATGTTCACGAACATTTAGAGAATAAACAAATGAATCAAACGGTTAAAAACCAAGGTGGTTACTCTGTATTGTGTTGCAAAGCAAGTGCGATGAGAAAACTAAATGCGTTAAGATTGCAATTTGTATTCTGTATCGCTCACGCAAAATTGTAAAAAACACATTTTTATGTGATACGAGTGTTTTTTTAGAAATAAAAAAAAGGATTTTACGAGATCGATCAAATATACTCTACCTAAGTGAACACGGTTATGAAAATAGAAGTACGAATTATGTGACAAACGTTTTCAAATATTTATTTTTTATAAATTTATATAACATTTTCGTCTCAATAAAGATAAACACATCTTATATAGTAAAAGCTATTAAAAATGACCTGTAAATTTCTTAAAAACTATTGAATATAAATAAATAGTTTGTTTTGAGACTTGAAGTGGATTTTGACGTAGAATATTTTATTCCTTGACATTAAATACCTAAAATTAAGTTTCATGTTACTTTAATGCACTTAGTCGAAAAAAATACTGGGAAATTTCTTTGAAAAAAATACAAGAACATTTTTGAATTTTTGGTTCAAAATGTATGATACTATATATTCGGTATATACATCATATATACATTGTTCAGTGACTTATGCTAAAAATTGATGGATAATATTTTTGTCCCTTATACCATCCTTCTAAAAAAGTAATAAGTACGATATTAACCCTAAAATGAGTTTTGTTTTTTTTATTTATTTTTTTTTTTTTTTTTGATTTTTGACGTTTAGGCTGATTTTTGAGTTTTAGTCTATTCTGAGACTTATAGTAAAACTTTATGGAGAACATTTCTATAGAATATTCTGAGCAGCTTTAATCCCGTTTTGAATGAGTTTTCAATCACTCCTGAAAAAGGGGACCGAAAATACCCCTCCAATGATTTGATTGAGGGTTAAAGTTGTATACCAAAATATTCTTCGATATTTTATCAGTAATATTGCCGAAGACACTATATACCTAAAATATACCTAAATATACCTAGAATGCAAGGATTTCAAGAAATCACAATTCGAAAATTATCAAAATTCTTAAAAAGTGGGAATATTGCTCCCCTTTTTAGGTTACCTCCCGATGTAAACTTTCAAAATGCCGATACACGCGTCTTCTTTTTTAGCCCTCTTTCATAATCTGTTGGAATTTCCCGGTAATTATTTTATGTGTTGAACTTTTTTACACCTTTTTAACACGATTATCACAACTAGTACATTTCCGTCTGATTGGAAGATAGCCAAAGTACATCCTTTACTGAAAAACGGCGCTACTGGATTAAACTGTGCCGATTATCGCCCAATCTCAATTCAACCCGCACTGTCAAAGTTTCTCGAAGTTTTGCTCAAAAACCAAATTTGGGAACACCTGGATGAATTTTCTTTGGTTAATGTCTGTCAATTAGGTTTTTTTAATCTTTTTTTTTTTTTGCAATCTTGTGTCTTCATTCCTCTCCAACCGTTTGCGATATTTGGTCAGGTGTTCCACAGGGCTCAATTTTAGGTATACTCCTTTTTATATTATACGTTAATGATGTTTGTGAATGTGTTCAGCATTCTTCTTTGCATATATATGCGGATTTCGGGTTGTTTATGTCTAGTCCATGTCTTAACATAAAGTGTTGGAATTCTACACATGATAGTGATATTGGTCGAATTTGCAGTTGGGCTTCACATAACTGTTTTAACATCAATGTTGATACAACAAAGTTAATTATTTTCCAAAGTGGTCGTGATATACCTATTCAGGGAAGTATACGCGTGCAACTAATTCTTTGCAGTCTGTGACTTGTCTCGGCTTTGATATTGATTGTAATCTAAAATTTTCATCCCATATTACGAACATTTGCTCAAAAGTTCATTTTTGATGTTCGATGCTTATATTTTTTCTTTAAAACCATGAAATATGGTATACCTAACTATATTGATGATAATTTCCGATTTTTGTATTCTAACAGAAATTCTCGAATTATTTTTGAACGCTTTGAAAGCCTGGTCCTGGAACGTTCTTTTGTTGTTCGCATTGGTAGGTTGTGAAACCAGCTTCCCCCTGGATTGAAAAATTTCTCAATCTCACCACATAATTTTAAAATTAAATTGCTGCAATTTTTTTGTTCTTTGGAATAAAAGAATTATATATCTCGCTTATAATAATAATTTTATTAATAATAATAATAATTTTATTAATAATTTTATAAGATAATTTATTATACGCCTTCTATCAATTTGTAACCCAATGAGGAGTTTTTTATTAATAAATTGAATTGAAAATAAAAACTATGTGTTAAATTTGTTAGTCCATGACCAATGCTAGTATTTTTTTGATAAAAAATGTTCCCAAACGAAGCACATTGGATTTCTATGTGGGTCGTGATAATTATAAGATACTAAAGTTGCCCAGAGAAAAATTTTAACTATTTTTTTTCTACTATATTAAAATTCCTTTGTGATTAGGCCTTTCCATTCAATATACCCCTATTTTGTAGCATTCTTTCAATATGAAATCGTGTGTAATTGCCATATAGCGACATCTTTATGTGATATATGCAAAGCGACATCTTTTGTGGAATGCAAATTTACCTATTTAACCAATATAGTGTCCCCTGTTGGACAGTAGCAGAGTTTCAAATAATTGAAATGCCAATTGGATTAAATATCGTAAAAAAACCAGTGCCGAGCATAGTATAATTATTACAGGGCATAACACGGTACTATGGGGCGTAGCTACCAACTGATTACAATTTTTTTTTCTCAAGGTGGCTTGTTCTCTCAAATTTAAAATCCACATTTTGTGAATATATATGTGTGTATTGTTTTGAATAATACCCAGTTGTTCAATGAATATCAATTGTCTGCTATTATATAGTTATATAGCTAGTTATTATGTTCTCTAGTTACATTATACCAAAAAGTGGCACATTTCTTGATTGAAAAAATTGTCTATTTCTATAGTTACTGGTAATGCAAAAAGTAATGAATCGACAAACAAAACCGAAAAAACAAATATCATTTTCTTCAGACTTTTTATAATGTTCTTAATTGTGAAAGCAAAAGTTAAATAAAACGTGTGTGTTAAACAAAAATATAAGCAACACATATTCACGATAAACAAGATTACAAGACATTCACGATAAGCAAATTTCAAGAATCGACCAAATACATATGATGAATCTTGGGTACGTTTTGGTATTGCAACACAAAAAATACATAACATAATTGTCTTACAGATTTTCGAAAGATGTCAATTCAGAAGCATTCAGTAGATTGAACGAACAATTAAAGATGAATAGGTAAATATTATCCAAATATATAGGGTAGAGAAGCTTCTACATAAGAGTCCCATATTTTTAGTTATAATTTGTACCTTTTTATTACGATAACGAATTTTTCTTTGTGATATCGAAGAAAATAGTAAAATCTAGTAGATTCTTGCAGTACGGGAACATACCAAATATATTTGTTAATTACCCACAAACATAATTGTCTTACAGATTTTCGAAAGATGTAAATTCAGAAGCATTCAGTAGATTGAACAAACAATTAAAGATGTATAGGTAAATATTATCCAAATATATAGGGTTCTGTTCCCGTTCTGCAAGAATCTACTACTTTTTATTACGATAACGAATTTTTCTTTGTGATATCGAAGAAAATAGTAAAATCTAGTAGATTCTTGCAGTACGGCAACATACCAAATATATTTGTAAAAATACACATTTGGTCTGTTCCCGTACTGCAAGAATCTACTAAATTTTACATTTTTTTTTTTTTTTTGATATCATAAAGGAAAATTCGTTATCGTAGATCCTTGCAGTACGGGAACAGACCAATTATTTCAAATTTGGGCAGCATTGCACATCAGCGTTGATGCGTTCCCTTAACATTTTCGATTAATCGATTAGTCGAAAGTCGATTTACTTATCCCTAATTTGCAGCTCTGCAAGACAAATTTTGATTGTCATTCCAAAATACAACAGTTCCGCCGACTTGCAGAAATTTGCAAAATAAAATAGGATTTTCAACAGAGAATATAAAATAGAATACAGTGAAAATGTATGCCGGCAGTCACTTGATGAATCAACAGTTCTGGAGTAATGGACCAGCTCCTGGACAATTTTATAATTTCACTGGTGGTTACAATGGTCTGGCCACGGGCAATGTTAGCCAATGCAAGGAGTTCACAACACCTGGACTCTTTGGAACACAACACAGTTCGTAAGTACCAATTTTGGAAACTTTGTGTTATTGCCAATAAGAGATTTTATTAATCGGATTTGTAATTATAGATCTCCCATTACCACCGGTACCTCAGTGGTGGGCATTAAATTCGATGGTGGTGTTATGATTGCTGCCGATAACTTGGTCTCCTATGGCTCTCTGGCACGCTACCAAGATGTTCAGCGTGTCTTCAAAGTCAATAGCAAAACAATCATGGGAGCTAGTGGAGACTTTGCCGATTTCCAAAGCTTGAAACGTAGTATTGACCAAAAAATTGTCGAGGACCTGTGTCACGGTGATGATCTCGAAATGAAACCCAAATCGCTATACAATTGGTTGACACGCGTTTTCTACAATCGTCGCAGCCGTATCAATCCCTTGTGGTTGGAAATGGTAGTTGGTGGTTTGGATAATGGTGTACCCTTCTTGGGTCATGTCGATCTACGTGGTCGTGCCTATGAAGATGATGTTGTTGCCACAGGTTTTGGCAAACATTTGGCATTGCCTTTGGTTCGTGAACAATTAGTTGAGGGTCAAAAACTAACACAAGAACAAGCCTCTAATGTGGTAAGTTGAAGTACCACAATAGAGTGGGAGGAAATATTTGTCTAACTATTGAAACAAATCATTTGTTTTTACAGCTCCGCAAATGTATGGAAGTTTTGTACTATCGTGACTGCAGATCTATGCCTAAATATTCGGTGGTAGTTTGCACCAAGAATGGCAGTGTAGTCCAGGGTCCATTTAATGTGAACGAAAACTGGCAATTGGCCACTATGGTTAAGGGTTATTAGAAATTTCATCATGAAAATTAATTCTTTTTTGTATACAATCTCTTGGAATGTGATTAAATATAATTTGAAAAATTAATTTGATTGTATTTTTGTACATTTACACTTTTTATTGAATATAGCAGACCCGGCAAACGTTGTTTTGCCTATTCAGAATTGCATCAATATAGGGTTGGTAAAAATGAACGAATTCATGGAAAATATATTTCAGAAACTATTTACCAAAAAATTTTCTTCAAATTTCCACAATCAAAAAATATGCATAATATTTTCCTCATGACGGTAAACCTTCATTTGCTGATACTCCAGTATATTAAGTAATATTGTTATTGTTATTAAATTATATCAGTATGTGTGGTAATTAAGTTTATCAATTGATCGAACATATTCCACCAAACATTTTTCAGGAGAAGGTCAAGTTTTGATCTAACTACTCGTATTTCAAAAGATAATTACTATTTTTTTATCACATACGATTCATAAGTCCTATAAAAGGTGTGTTGTGTTCAATTTCACAAATCTCCAACTTTTTATGTTTTTCTTAAAATTTTCTTTTGGTAAAACTCTTCCCACTTCATTAAAAATAATCGAAGGAGAAATGTATTTGAGGAACCATAAAGGCACATATAAGTTAGACACCTAGAGCATCTAATGCGCAATTGTCTCCATGTAGGATTCAAATTATATATATATATATACTTCCCCAATATAAGCTAAATATAGCTAAATTGTTGAGGTATTTGTAATGGGCATTTTGGTATATTCTATGTATATGTATTGAAATATTTCACAAATAAAGCTGGTTTTATTTCCTATTTAGAATACGTTGAAGTTTCAGCCAATGATCGCGTGGTATATATGTCATGTATTGGTTTTATAATATAAAAAATTGGCTCACCATTATTGTGCGTTTTTAAACCTCCATATATTTGGCATAGTACGATGTTATGTACTTTTGAAAGTAGTAACACATACCGTATACATTGTCTTTAATTCGGCATTTCATGTAGGATAGGGAACTTCTCTGTAAATTGTAGGTATAGTATCACTTTATGGTATATATCCCACATAATGGTAGGCAAATCGGTCCAGCCGTTCCTTCAAAATAGGTTTTGCAAGATTTTCGCGGATTTTTCTCAACATGTTCTTTTATAAAAGCTTTCCCACTTAAATTGCAGGCAACTGAAAGAAATTTTGAATCAAATCGGTGCCGCCGTTCCCAATTGATGAGGTACTATACATTTTACATCACTTTTATAAATAGATTTAAATACATTTTTCTACAATTTGATAGGGTATTATTTTTTCGTTTGACTCCCACGCTCTTTTTACGAAAACAGGTTATGTATGAGTCGGTGTCGGAATACATAACATCGGCACATACCGATTAAGCATCCAATATTTAATCGGGCAAAACACAAAGTCGCGTCATCTATCGGACGAACTTAAAATTAAATACAAAAACACTACTCACACCCCATAGGACATATACGTAAAGTTTGGTCTAAATCGGCGCAGTAATTCTTGAAATATAGTGAAAAACACAAAAAAACTAAAGATTGCGCCATCGGTCAGATGAACTTCAAACTACACAGAAACACTCCTCATGCCCCATAGAGGCTGTATACACAATTTGGTAAAAATCGGTGCAGTAGTTTTTGAGTTTAGCGATCACGAACATACACGTAATTTATATATATATAGAGATAGAGATTGGGAAAGATTAATTTGAAAATTAAATTATTTAATTAATCGGATAAAACCCCTTCTGAAGTTCTTAAGATACTCGCCAAGAGCTATTATCCCCAAAAGTAATTTTCCAGCACCCAATATCTTGCAATAATTCGACAAATATTTTCTTTTCGATGTTTGAAGTTTTCATTCTTTTTTGGTTTCTTCCAAAAAGCCCTTATTAATAGCAAAAATTCAATTTAGCAAGGAATCGATGTTTCTTCGTTTGGAATTGAATTAATGAAAGTCCAAAAGTCAGATGAGACCGACTATATGATACCATTCCCAATTTTGTGTATATTGGTGTCATTCGTTTCCAACAATAATAGTTATTCTACGCTCAATTTGGAACGTTATACGAATTTTGATTGCAATCGGTGAAACGTAAAGTATTTGGTGAACAATTTTCGTACACTCAAGGAGTGCCATTCTAGACCCATTATGGTATGCTTCGCAATATTTTTTGTCAATCGAACAAACTTTGTGTCTGTGGTACACAATTTATAACAAGTCGGACGATTTGATCGATTCCAACAGAACTTCACATACATCAATCTGACAAACCTTTTGAGTTTTGTGCACCACATATAAAAAATCGGACGCAAATATACATGGAATCTATATCTAAATCTGAAATATTTATACAAAACTTCACACACGCCAATCTGTACGCAGTGCAAATATTGTCAATTGAACAAGCATTGTGTCGTGTGTCAACTATTTTGGAATTGGAGTTATATATTATATAGAGATTATAATACCTCACATATTCCCCTCCTTCTAAATATCACGAATTGAATTAGATTCTCATATATATTTATTAAATTTACGCATATTTTTATTACAATGATTATGGGTAGCTAATTCTATATAATACCTAATTAATAAATTTACTTTTTATGCATATTATTCGTAGAGGTATAAACAAATTTTGTATATGCCAAATCTTACTTTTTTGATACGAGATCTAACTTTGGCCAAAAAACAAAAAATGTTTAACACAAGATGAAAATCATTAACTAAAAAAGTATATAATATATCGTTGGACCTTAGCGAAAGAACTTATGTCAAAAGCTATTTTTTTACCATTAGGGTATTTAACCAAAAGTCCACTGATACATGTGTATATCCGAAATTGCCAATTTCAATGAAATTATTTTGGAATTGTTGATAATTCATAATATATACGTATGTTGTATTGCCACCACCACCTTTTTGATTTGGTAGATGCATTCAAAAATATGATTTTAATTGAGCATAGTGCGTCTATCATAAATGTGGCGACGTTGTTCTCGTACTTGTCTCTTCCATTTGTCCTGCTGATGGCCCACCCGATTAAGAACATTGGCTCTTGAATTCAGTTCTTGATTAGCTGATGAAGACATAGGAGGAGAAGCAGAAGTAGTATCATCCTAAACGAAAAAAGAAAATTGAAGAGAACAGTTAATTTCGATGAACAGCGGTTGGTTTAAACTAAAATCTAAAATAACAACAATAAGAAACAGAAACAAGAGATGTCCAGTTGGTTAATAATACAGTACGAAAAAAGATTAAAAACAAATAAAAAAGAAAGATGAAACCCAAAATGTGGTTAATAAGAAGTCGTGTAGATATGAAAAAACTGAAGGAGGAAACCAAAAAAGGAACAAATTATTTTGTTTTTCGTTCAATAAACAAATAAATGCAAACAAAATCAGTCAGAATCTTTATTGTCGTCTACTAATAAACTATATTTAACGTTAGAAAAACGTTGCATATGTACATCTTCGTTTGTGTGCTCCTGATAATTGGCCTTGACACGTTTGTTCAGCAAAGGATCCAGACACATCAGGAATAGCATATATATCACAAGTATGGAAATAATCCATATAACAATGATTACGACAACCTGAAAATAAAAATTAATTAAAAATTATATGCAAATATGGTGAAAATAAATGGCCTGTTCACGTACTGCAAGAATCTTAATAATTTTTATTATTTTTTCGAATATCATAAAGGAAAAGTTGTTATCGTAGTAAAAACTACAGTACACGAACAGACCAAAAAAACTATATATGATGAAAATACAAAATTTGATTTCGATACATTAAAGCTTATAATCGAGTGTTAGTTTTAATACATTTACATACGTAATGGCTATGGCTTCGGTTACGGAAATTGAGGAGAAGGGATTTAACACAACGGAGATTTGAAGCTATAGTTGGCCCATTATAAAATAAACAATCTTGTTACATTTACTAATACAGTCAAATCCGCTTAATTGAAAGTGCTCAAATACAGCAAGTTTGTTTCAATTAATCGAGTTTATTAATAAAGCGAAGTCCGGATAATTAATATATTTTTCATTTAACCAAAGTTCAAAAAATCTGATATTAAAGAAATAACATGAATAAATACAGCTTTATTAAAACATTGGTAAAAAGCTTCTGTCTCCATGTTCCAAAGAAAATCCGCCTTCTAAATTCGGAAGTTGTTTTGTTGGAAGGCTCTTCTGGCATTAACATCTAAAAGATCCATCTCTTCCCTAAAAAAGTACTAAGAGTACTACTATATCTTTTTGACAGGCTTTATTGTCAACAAAAAGAAAGAATTTTCTTCCAAATGGCTTTTAACTTGGATTCCAGATCCTTCACTCGTTTTTGTCCATATATGGTCGGCAATTTTTTCTGATTTACCAATTTTCTGGATAAGTCACCACGTAAAACTAACGTTACCAAAATGCGACGCATATATTTTTTCAATTAAGCCGAGTTGTTTAAAAAAAAAACATGACCTTTTGGAAATAATTCCGTTTTCAATTAATCAAATTTAAAGAAAAGCTATAGAGATTTAGATATAGCTCCCGTATGTTACAGTAAAAATCCTAGGAAAATCTCTGATATATCCCCAAAGTGGTGAAGAGTATCATTTTCATTTTTTAAATTATCACAGTTGGGAAGTTCTTTTTAGCTCGGTGGAATGGTGACATTTCGCAGTAAAAAAATATTTTGCTGTTTTTTGTTTGGTGCATTCAGTTGTAAGGTACAGGGTGTTAAAAATGGAAGTGAACGAAGAGAAAATTCGGCACATTTTAAAGTTTTCCTTTGACAAAGGCGAAAATGCAAGCGAAGCGGCTAAAATTGTGAATGGTCTATATGGTTCCAATACTGTAACAGCCAATTATGCAAGAATGGCGAATTCGACGGCAGGAGCCGACGGGTTACCAGCCGAACTATTCAAGACTGGTGGTCAGCGCCAAATCCTGGAAAAGACCCACGAAAAACACATCGACACATACCACCTATTCGTCGACGTCGACTATAAAGCCGCATTTGGCAGCCCTATTCGTTCAGAGGTGTTTAAAGCCATGTCTACGTTTGGCATTCCTGCAAAATTAATACGGCTATGCAGGATAACTTTAAGTGGGACAAGGTCAGCAGTTAAAGTCGGAAAGGACCTATCGGAGCCCTTAAATATCGAACGAGGTTTCAGACAAGGTGACAGTTTGTCGTGTGATCTTTTTAAAATCCTGCTGGAAAAGGTCATACGAGACGCAAGGGTGAACAGAATTGGCACTCTGTACACCAAACAACACATGTTACTCGCCTACGCCGATGACATCGATATAATGGGTCGAACATTGCGAGCGGTAACAGCCACCTTTGAACAAATTGAGAAGGAGCCTGCCAAAGTGGGTCTGGAAGTAAACGGGGAGAGGACCAAGCTGGTGGTATCAGCGCGCAAGACGTCCAGAAGACTCGGACCAACTGTGGAACTTGAGAACTACAGCTTTGAGGTAGTTAAAGATTTTATATACCTTAGTACCGCCACAAATAAAATGAATGGAATCAGTTTTGAAATTCGGAGAAGGATTGTGATGGTCAACAGATGCTACTATGGTCTAAGTAAGCAGTTTAAAAAAAGCCACTTCCCGCCAGACCAAACTCACACTTTACAAGACGCTGATACTACCCATGCTGTTATATGGATCTGAAGCAGATATGGCAGCTCTTGTGGCGTTTGAAAGAAAAATTATCCGAAAGATCTTCGGGTCGATCTGCGTCGACGGTGAATATCGGCACCGAATGAACCACGAGATTTACAATTTATACGCGGACATCGACATAGTCAGTCGTATTGAGCGGAGCGACTACGATGGCTAGGCCATATTCTGCGAATGAAGGAGAATGCCCTAGCTCAAAAGGCATATAAAAGCTAGCCTACTGATGGTTCCCGTAGAAGGGGAAGGCCACGAATTAGATAGCAAGACCAAGTAGAAAACAACATCTTGGAACGCGGTTTTTCAATTTGGAGGAGATGCACACAAGACCGACGAAATCTTTTTTAAGCTCGGCTTATGGAACAACCGTTCTGTAACAAATCAGCTAAGTGAGTAAATAAGAATTCTACGATCCATACCTCTGGAAAGACTAAAGCTATTTATCCATGTTTTACTTCAAATTTGTTATCTCTTAAATAGATTGTAGCCTTATTAACTAATTAATATCTAGTATTTTAAAATTATTTACATACTTTTATCAAAGTTGTATTGCGTGCTTCATGTTTACATTTGCATTCGGGACAAATTTCCAATTCATTTTCTCCCAATCGTGGTAACAGTGCTCCATCGCATACACTATAAAAAGAAAAAAATATATATATTTTAATAGGGGGAGGGTATTTACTTAATCAAATAAAAACAACATAATATAGATGTTGATAATCTTTTGTTATGTGGGCACACAGATGTATGTACATACATACTAACATATTCGATGAATGTATGCATACAAAGAAATGTCACTCGCTAATTATTTATCGTATTCTTTAGCAAATACAATCTAATTAAATCAACAAAAGACAATTGATGACAAACTTACCATTTTGGAGCTGTCGTCGAATTTGGTGAAGGAGCAATTCCGGTGCTTAATACTTTTGGTAATGGTGTAGCTGTTGTGGGCTTTTGGGGCTCAATTTTGCTGGTGGCTGTGCTGTTCGTGTCAGCCTATTTGTTTTTGTGTAAAGTTCGTTCGGTTAAATACCAATTGTAAGTTTTGCGATTTATTTGATTTATTTGGACTTACCCATGTCACGCCAATAAAAAAACATATCGCCAATAGCAGTGTGAATAGAAATAGACGTTTATACTCCATTAATTTGCGGAATAGATTTATTTTTTTAATTAAATGAAATAATTTTTGACAGCGGAGAAAATCATTCGCCACCTTCACTTTTTAACACGACAAGTCTCTGCAGAAAATAATATAGAAAAACGTTCCACCTTTACGAATGGGATGGGATAAGACAAAATGCTAATTACAACCCTGTAAACGTGAGGTGAAAGTAAACGATCCGAGGACCAACCGTGGCGAATAAGAATCAAAACAAACGAGAAAAGAACCAACAGCTGATCACAATTTGAACAGTTGATCAGCTGTTTGTAGTTCCGGAACGAACTAGTTCGCCACCTTCACAATTTAACATTACAATTCACAATGACAATTAAGGATAAGTAAATTGATTTTCGACTAATCGACTTTTTGTATAGAAAAGTCTGATATCTATTAATAAGGTCACCAAGGTAGCAATAGAAATCGGAAAACAGCTGTTTTTTCTCATGTCTAATGTCAAAAATTTCGTCTTTGTTTACGTTTTCATAATGGAAGTCAATTCACAATAATGCATTTTGACAGCAAACTTAAGAGGTATCGATTTCCAGCTGGTCTCCCTGGGTGACCTTATTTATAGGCCATGCCACTTCCATTATGAAAACGTACAAAGTCGAAATTTTTGACATTCGACTTGAGAAAAAACAGAATTCGATTGCTAACTTGGTGACCTTATTAATAGATCTTGTAAAAGTCGAAGTCGACTTTGATCTATGAGAAAATCGTAAAGTCGACTTTTCAAGATCGTCTTTCGATTTTCTTCATAAATACTTTGATTTTTTATCACAAAGCTCAAATTGTACAAAAATTGCTCTTTCTTGAACTTTACTTTATCTGTTCACAATTGGTCTGCTCCCGTACTGCAAGAATCTACTCGATTTTACTACGATAACAAATTTTCCTTTATGATATCGAAGGAAATAGTAAAATCTAGTAGATAATTGCAGTATGGGAACAGACCAAATAATTCATAAAAAAATAATTTTTAGTTGATTTTGCAGAAGTCAGTAAAAGTCGAAAATCGATTTTTAACAGTTTTGACAAAATCGACAAAAACCGAAAAGTCTAAAAATCGATTTTTTGGTCAGAGGCAAAAATCTAAAAGTCGACTTTTGCGCTCGACTACGTAACTCTAATGACAATTATGTGGTAGTGGGCAGCCTAAGTGAATTGATATCCCAAATGGAAGAAAATCAAAACAATGCTTCTTCTTCTCTTGGTCTCTTATTAGTATGTAACCTTGAGTTTACAAAATGCTGTGGCCAATATCGATTATGCAAAATTTGCGCTCGCAGCAACCACCGCGATTTCCAAGGCCAAACCCTACTCAAAGGCCTTGGCAATGAAGAGGTTGACAGTGGAACTGCAACTTGCTGTATAGAAGTCATCGTTGAAGCAGAGGAAAACACGTACGAGTATTCAGGCCTGGTTCGCTTTGTATGAAATGTCAATTTATTCTTTTACAATAAAAGAAGCCAATTTAACATGCCAATCTTGAAGTCCTCTTTTGTGTTCCCCCCTTTTACCTTGATATAAGTGCCTTTCTCCTTTATCTTGAGGTACTTCTCACCATCTTTTCATACAACACGGATATCGATTTGTATGAAATTGAATTGAACCATTCAGATAATCAGATAATTATTGTAAAAGACCAAAAGAGAACAACGTGCAAAATCATGTTTCATTCTGATATTCCTTTACAAATTGACATTTCATAAAAAGCCAACTTAGCAGTTCAGGCCTGAATCCTCGTATGTGTTTTCCCTTAAAGGCGCTATTTATTTGTTAGATTCACAGCGAAAACGAAAAATTCACGTACCTGATCACAAAAAATTTGATGTGTCGCTAAGTACCCTTATCTTTTACGTTCCTCTAAATGCTGACATTTTGTGTAGTCGTTTTCCAACACTTGTACATTCTGTTATCTGACTGTCAGTGATTGTTTGACAGCTGTTTGCGTGTCTATTAAGGGGCTGTTCTGCTTATATTTTACGTGTATTATAGTTGTTTTATATTTGCAAAACACACAAAGAATTAAATAAATCCTAAAAAGAAGAAAGAACCAAAAACAAAATGAAATACGAACAACATCGGATACTTTTATTGACAATATTTGCAGTTCTATGCAGATATCCAGCGGCTTTTGGTAAGTTTGTGCTAATGTTGTTGTGGTCGGTTGTGATTGGTCGCTGCGGCCCCCCTTTTTCCAGAAAAAGCCGATAGTAAATTGTTCGATGTTATCAATAAAAATTGTAATGTTGTAAATTGTTTCTATTTGCAGCTGCTAAGAAGAACTATGTTACCTGCGGATCCATAATAAAATTATTGAATTCGGATTACAATATGCGCCTGCATTCACATGATGTCAAGTACGGTTCAGGATCCGGCCAACAATCAGTGACAGCAATTGAATTGAAAGAAGATGTAAACAGCCATTGGGTCATCAAGGCATCTACAAACAAACACTGTGAAAGAGGTGAACCCATCAAATGTGGAGACATTGTCCGGCTGGAACATTTAAGCACACACAAAAATCTGCATTCACATTTCTTCTCGTCTCCATTGTCGGGCGAACAAGAAGTTTCGGCATATGGTGAAAATGGTGTCGGCGACACTGGCGATCATTGGGAACTTATTTGCTCAAATGAAAGCTGGATGCGTGATGCCCACGTTCGACTAAGGCATGTTGATACCGGAGCATACTTGGCTATATCTGGACGTACATTCGGTCGTCCTATTTCCGGTCAAATGGAAGTTGTGGGCGTGAATAATCCCAGTCATGGAACAAGATGGACCACAGCTGAAGGCCTTTTTATTGTTCCCAAAGAGAAAGAGACTGAATACATCCACACAGAACTGTGAGATCATTCACGCCACATTGATGCTTGCTATCATTTTAGATCATTTGAAAAAAAAAACACAGCCCCATTGACGTTTTAGTTGAATGAATTTCAATAAATTAATGATTTGAAATGTTGTGCTCATATTTATTTGGGAATTTTATGATAAGTAGATGATATTTTGTCAGAGTACAGTTTTATGTGTATTATAAATGAGTTAGTAAATAAATCTAATAATTTTGTGTACAAAATCACTAACTAGTTTATATGCTTCAATCGAATATTTTGCTAAATATTAAATGATTTATTTGGAAATTAAGTAGTCTATTACAAAAACAATTTATTAAATATTGTAGGGGAGAGGGATGCTTATAATGATGTACTTTGAATCTAGAAACGACACAATTTACTCAGATTTAATAATTATTCAAGGCTCGGGTAGTTTTGAACTAAATTGTTTCATACAAAAGATGTATATTTTTATTTTTATACTCAAGGAATCTATTTATTAAAAAATGCGTAATCATTAATATTCTCAAATAGAAAATTCATATAAAAATGTTACAGCAAAAAGGGGAAAAATTAATAAAACTTCACTTCATACGATATTATCGATATTATGGAAAAGCCAATTGCAAATTGAAAATCTCTTACTATTGTATAGTGCTCTCTGGAAGTAGTTTCTCCTAAATGTAATGTTTTAGCAGTACCATTTTAACGAAATATCTTCATAATATTTTACAGGGTTGATTTATTCATTCAGTACTTATCACATTTTTTTAAGGTCTTCACTTTTAAGTGAGTTATTTATAATCTTTCGAGTCGAGCTTAATGATCTAAGTTTTGCAATGAAAAGAAAAGCCATGCGAAAAAACATGTGTATACTATGGAAGCAATTGTAGGTGTTGTGGATAAATTATCAATCGCTACAACAAATATCTGCTTTGAAAAGAACTGTTTCTAGAATGAAGACGTTGACAAATTTGAATTTAATTCGCATATGCAAAGTTCGCATCAGGGCGAACCAACAGCGAAACGCGTCGCATAATGGTGGGTTCTTCTCCTGGCTTTCCTTTTCATTGCAAAACTTAGATCCAGCGTGACCGTTGTGCCACTAAAGTAGCAATTTTGATACTTTTTTTCGGCCTTGCTACTCTTGTGCCACTTTTTTATTTTGATACCAAATGTGACACTTTTTGAAATGTTGTGCAAATTCTTCCTATATTTTGCTACTTTGTTTTTAAATGCTCGTACACGAAGATATTTACTAAGGAAATTTCCATGTGGACCGTTTTTGATTTTATTGAAATTGTCTATTGGAATTTTTACATCCTGTTGTACAGGGAATTGTTATTGTGCATGACATACGGAAAATATTTTTGTAATCCAAATGAAGGTAACATTAATTATCCCAATTAGTACGTCTCATTTGTTTAGCCTATCCAAATTGTTTAGAATCGGTTAAGATATAGGTATAGCTGCCGTATACAAGATGGCGCGCATAAGGCCCGACTTTTTTCCCCAATTGGGGCAAAATTTACCATTGGGTATCGAATAGAGTCCACAATGACTTTTCATGGGATACAGGCTTGGGATGAGAATAATATGGATTTTGTTAAAGTCGTCTCAAATATTGAAATATTTGAACAAAAGACTTTGCTTTTGTCCGATTTTAAAATTTGTAACTACCGTCCATATATAATTTCATCAGATTCTATGTTAGGTTAGGTTAGGGATGTACGGTTGTTGTAACAACCGTCCACTCGGAAACTATGTCCTTTGTGATCATCCTTTAAAGAAAAGAAAAAAATAGTGGAAGAGTAGGGAGAAAAATAGTGAGGGGGCGGAAGAGAGATTATTTTAGCCAAGTCAATTTTTTGACAAAGCCTAGAATTTGGTTAGGTTTTGAAAAATTTCATGACATCCAAACTGTTAATGTTTTTTGCTGATCAGCGATGGACATTTGCAGAGGATTCCATGTTAATATGTAGCAAAATAGTGTGCCACTTTTTGTGCCACCTTTTCAAAAGATTTATGCCACCTTTTTTCAAAAATGATACTTTCTGTGATACTTTTTTAATTCAAATGATCACTGCCCTTACAAGGCAAATATTCAAATAACAAAAACTCTTTAATTTTATATATCGCTTATTTGCTGCAAGAGAGGCATAACTCAAAACGAGTTAATGAAGCTGGATTGTTCGCTATAATAGACTACATGTTGTGTAAGAAATTCATATGAATATCTCTTACACTCTCTAATTGAGAAGCTGTAGAAGTTCCTCTGTCCCATATAAAGTGTGAGTAAATTGAAAACTTAAAACGCATTTTCGGCAAAATCGTTTTTTTAGTTATTCCTGTCTTGCAGCAAATGAGCGATATTATCCGTCCGTCCGCCCATCTGTTGTTGTTGTAACAGTTTTTACACAATGGGCTGGGGTGACAGACGTTGGGCGAGTAAGACTCGGGTCGTTTCCGATGGTTCACCTTTCGAAGGGGGTAATCGATTTCATTCATAATGTCTTTTCCAAACTTAAATAAAATTTAAAGATGTGAAATATTCAAATGGCCGATAAAATGGTCAATTGCTGAAATTTATCTTTTGAAGCGAACGAAGTTTCCATTATCATCGCAGCTTTGCACATCGTAAATTTTTTACTTTGCCTAGAACAACTCCGAAGGTGGTATCTATCGATCCAGTTCTTCTGGTACCTTCCCCCTTAAGTGTGAATATTTCGATTTTTTTTAAATACAATATTAAAATCTATTCTAAGTCCGATGCTGAGACCCATTGGTCTAATCCTTCTTGCACCTCCCCAATATAGGGTCCACATTTTTGAATTTGTTAAACCAATATTAAGCTAAAGAAATGTCCGATTTGATACGAACTGTGCGCATCAACATTTTTCTTTCGATTGTTCCTTTTTGCATATTCTTATGCAAGTTTCGGACTAAGGTGCCCTTACTCATTTTTCCTTTTCGCACCGATTGCCATTTTGGCGTCATTCTAAAAGTGTAATTCGAAATAGTAAGACGTAGCGGCAGACCACAACAACAAATTCTACAGTGCAAAGTTATATACCGGTGCAAAGTCCTATTAAATAATTGGAAGTGGAGTGTTATTTTTTTTTTCTTATCCCTCCTGTTGGAATAAACTACTTTTGCGGAAAGTAAGCGGTTTTGTGGGTAGGTTTTGGTGAAACTTACACACCAATGTAAATTAGCGAGTTTGTATAGAAGTGTTTTTTTTTCCAGAGATTTTTTTTTGGAGCGGTAGTTATAACGGTTGCCTTAACGGTATCTGGTGTACCTAGAGTGCCACGTGCTTATCCCGGCCCAGGAATTCTATTACCCTCCTGTGGTATACAGTGGAAAATTACCACACCAAAACCAACTGTTGCCGTCATTATTTTTTTCCTTTTGGCATTGGTATAACCACACCGAAGGCGACATTAAAATTTCTTTGGACAATTTTTTTTGAACGCCACACACAATTTTTGGGACTTCATCATATACGAAGCCATCGTCAGAACCACCATCGGCATCAACGAATACCTTCCATCAGACAAGTCACTCTTACAGTAAAGGTTTGGTATCGATTCCCCAACTGTAAGTACACACCTGGAAAAGTGACAGTTTGCGTCAACTTATATTTTTTGTCCTCGTTTGGTACCCTATCCGACCAGTCACAGACCGGGAGGTTAGGGGCCACATTTTTTTTTTATTTGTTACTCGACGGTCAGCCGAGTTTTGGAACAAAACCATCATAAATTTAAATGATCAAATACACTCCTAAAATACTAAATTGTTTTGACTTGAAAATAACATTTATAAAAGTGAGAATTCCCGCCATTTTGTACACGAAATTCCACCGTTTTCTTTGTCTTCTCCAAATTCATTAGAATTACATCAAAATTAAATCTGTCAAATCAAGTTAATGTCAAAATTGAATACTCTTTCGTGTTATAAAGCAAATTTAGTTGTAATTGCATACTTATATTTCTATATATATATTAGATATATCTATTTTATAAATTATATATATATATACCCTCGTATAGTATCGTACCTAATATACATACATATATATAGTATATATATTAATATATATACACACATAAAAAAAAAATATATAATATATAATAGTATATAATACAAAAAAAGAAATAAATATAATTATATAATGATATATAATAAACATTGTATATATGTACAGTTATTATAGGTGTATGTATATATGAGCATACATTTGTAATATACATGCATACACTCATACATATATAAACGTACATACATATTCAATCTGAATGATTGAATTTATATAATTTGTGAACATTTTGAATTTAAATATTAAATATTAACCCCTATATATATTTATATAGTTATTAGTCTGGATTTAAATTTTTATAAAAATATTTTCTTCGAAATTATAATTTTGTCAAATGTTTATCCCTATTCGTATACAATTTTATTTGAACAATTTAAGGATAAATAATTACACCATTGAGCTCGATAGGTTATAAATATATCCTTTATATATATATATATATATATATATATATCCTCTAGTATACAATATAGTGCACAGTGGTACTTGAATTGGGATGAACATACCAATGTAATTCAAATTTGTATGTACTTCCATTATTGACATTGTCGATTGACACCCAAGTAAATAGATTTCAGATTATTTTTTTTTATTATCATTATGTAGTATATAATATTATGTATTATTATACGATCTAATGTTATTATATCAAAGAAAATAAATATGAAAAGAATTTATGAATTAAAAAAAATATGAAAATAATTAAACATAACAATATGTTTTAATCAACTATATAAGGGGATAATGTAAACTAAGGTGAAGTCGATATAGGTATTGGGGGCATCTCACCATGGTGGGAGCCCAAAAAGGGGATTCATACAGGAATCCATAGGGTGGGCGATAAAGGTATCCAATGACATCTGGATACCAGAAAACAACGCTGTCTGGAAAATAACGCAACAACAATTTATATCTTTTTTTTTTTTTGAATTTTATTTTACAT